CCCGCCTCGGTCTGCCACCCGATCCACACTGCACCGGACCCTTCATGTTCCTCCTGCGGGTGGTGGGTCCACAGTTGGATGAGCCCATGTATTCGGTTCGGGCTGGGCCCGGCCGGGCCCCATGGGCAAAAGCCCGGCCACCAGGCGCTCGCTCACGGGCCCCAACCCTAGGCCTGGCTCCAGGGTGGGACCCCGGTAACCCTCCGGGCCGGGTACTCCAACTCATTGATAGTTCATCCATGAAAGATCCTCTGAACTGTTCTTTGTCTCACCCTTCACCTAATAATCATCTTTAATATCATATAGTCTCACGTTTGGTGTTTATTTCTGTGTGCTGAGTCTCACCATCTATTCAGTAACAAAGTAAAACTTTAAGGGAGGGTAACTGTAAAGAATTGAAGAACTAAAACATTTAAGCATTCATACTTCATGCTTTAATTGTTCAACAGTTTTATTTGAAGATTAAAGGAGGTTTTATATACTTTTTTCATATAACTTCTTCATGTGTGTTTACGGTTAAACTTTACTGTCTTGATGGTAGAACTGAGAAGTACTTGGCATCTATGGTCCAAAGCAACCAAGAGTGTGGGGAAGAGGTGAAGAAGAGTGTGAAACAGGCTGGAACTGGTGGGAAAGAACGTGTCAGGTGTGAAGTGTGATAAATGGTTTCAGCAAGAATTAAAGGAAAGGTGTTGAAGACAGTAGTGAGCAGCCTTGTTGTCTGGTTGAGGAAAAGACAGGAGGCAGAACTGGAGGTTGCAGGGCCCAAGACGTAGAGGATTTTTTAGGAGTGACTGGGATGGATCAGGAATGAGTCCATCAGAGGGACAGAAGCCAGACTCAGATGGTTTGGACATGTCCAGAGGAGAGACAATCGTAGGGTGCTGAGGTCGGAGCCTCCAGGCAGGAGGCTGACAGGAAAACCAAAAAGGAGATTTATGGATGTGGTGAAAGAAGACATTAGATGAGTTGATGCGAGGGTAGAGACATGTGGGCAGCGTTGACAGAGGATTTAAGTGTCTTCCCCGTAACCAGAGGGTTGCAGGTTGAATCCCCCACTCAGTCTGTTGCAGTTGTGTCCTTGGGCAAAACACTTGACCCGCCTTGTCTGCCGGTGGTGATCTGTGGGACCAGTGGAACTTGTGTAGGATCACCTCCATCAGTGTGCCCAAGGGCAGCTGTGGCCGCAATGTAGCTCATCACCACAAGTGTGGGATTGTGTTGTAAAGCACCTTGGGGGGCTGTAGGACTCTGGAAGGCGCCAAATAAATTTTTTTCTCTTTATTTGTATAGCACCTTACAGACATGAAACATGGCACAAGGGACCTCACAGACAAAATAAAACCAATGAAAACAGAAAAAACAAGCAGAATAAAAAAAATTAGCATAATTAATATAAAAAAAACTAACAATGAGAGGAACATGCCAAATCATAAAGTAGGTCTTCAGCCTTGTTTTAAAAACCGCCACAGAAGCAGAAGTCTTTTTGGACAAATGAAGCTGTTCCAATGCTTTGGGCCAGCCACTGAAAAGGCTCGATCCCCTCTCGTCTTCAGACATGAGCTACGAGCGAAGTGTCCGAGTCGGGGCATATGGTCATCACATTGGTAACACTTTACAATAAGGGTCTCTTTATTAATATAGCATTAAGCATTAATAAACAATTAAAATATTAACTGCTTAGTCATGTTATGTAATGCATTTCTGAGCAGCCCCCCCCCCCTCCCGGCCCTTTGTACAAACCTTAACTCACTCACTGCCAGCCGTTTCCTGATAGCTAACGGCCTTCGCTGCCAGTGTTTCTCACCGTTTTTACTGTTTTTTGAAGAGTCACAGAACGTTGCGCGCTAGGATGATGTCGATGCCAAAACAACCAAAACAAAGAGGAGACTCACTTCTTACATCAGGAAGAAGCCACGTGTTTCAAGTGTTATCCGTTCTTTCATAATCCGTCGTCGAATTGTGGTCGGCAGACGCTTTTCTGGTTTGCGCCTCACTTTTTTTACAGGAACGGCCCAAAACGATCTCCAAACACATGGATGTGTTGCTTCCTGATCAGGTGATCTGTAACGTATGCGGATGAAGATCAGCTTCAGGGCTGAGATGTTTGTTCTCTCAGCGCGGGGGCTCGTTCCGATGCTCAAACAGTAAAAAAAATGCAACTGACGACTTTAGTCGTCAATGGCAGTGAATGAGTTAAGGACACTTAATAGCTAACACAGGGAATTTTACTAAAGGGACTCTTTGCTTATCAATGGTTAATAATGCACTAATGTTAATAAATGCACCCTTATTGTGATGTGCTGCTGATACATTAACCATTTACCATGACTTTATGGAGATGCTGCCCTGAGTTTAGCCACCAGTTTAATTTTATATAGTTCCAATCATTTAAAGGTGCAGTATGTAAGAATTTACTGAGAATTTTATGGTGAGAAAATCCCAAAAGGATGTTTCAGTCATTTTTGAAGGAAGGTTATACTGAAATATCCAGCTGGCTGCTGGACTGTCAGTTTTTCTCCTTTCAGAACAAAGGAAGGAGGGACGTAACTACTGTTTACCATCAGTGAGGGTGGCATTGCCGTGTCTCCTGTGAGCTAATGCTGCAGCGCCATTTGTAATTGTAATTTGACGACGGCCGACAAAAAGCTCCAGAATTGTTGAAAGTGGTTGCAATAACCACATTTTACTACAGGATGCCATTTTTACTTTATTTCTACATAATGCACCTTTAATATGTTTATCTCCATGGGGAAATTATTTCTCTGACCCGTCTCCGAGGAGCAGTGGGATGCCATCAGCAAAGCTCCCTGTAGAAACAGGGGTCAGTATCGTGCTCAAGGGCACTTTGACAGAGGGACATTTATTCATTCGCAGCCCTCCTGGACAATCGAATCCTGTCAACAGAACTCATTTGAACTTCGATCCAGACATTAACCGCTGTCTTTTAGAAAACTGAACCACTGATAAATAAGGAGCTGAAGATTCCCAGAACAAGAGACTCAGTTTACAGCTGTGTTTTATTTACTAGAGTTTATAATGTGTCACACCATTCATTCATAACAAAGGTCAATAATCAGAAAAGTTCATAAAAGCAGAAGAAACAAATGCATCACCACAGCGTGGAGGAAAGTTTGGAATTAACCTGCAGGGTGATACGAGGTTTATTATCACACTAACAAGTTATTAAGTTCCTCTTGTTTATAAATTAGACCCAAACAAAGCAGAGGTGACCGACAGGACACTAATTCATTACTGAAGACAATTAACTCAGTGGAGAGAACGAGCAGGGGGCTGAATCTCACTCAGACTCTCTAGAGACACAATAGAAATTCATCTGGATGTTTGCAGGATGTCAGAATATTAATTAGAAATCAGTGGTGTGGTGTTGTCTCCCAGTGTCACAGCTGCTGTCGGGACTTGTCAGGGTATTAATATGAGGCTGAACTTGTTCATTTGTGTTTCTGTCTTCAATGTCTCACCCTTAAAGGAAAGTCTCGGGCAGATAAACAGGACGAAAGAGTTTGTTGCTGATGGGAAGAGTTTTACATCCCGGAACAGAAGAAGATCCCTTTGGGGGCTTTAGTGCTGAATTTTTGGGTAGAAAACTAATTCAAACTGTCAGTTAAAGCTGTGACAGAAGGTTTGTTTTGTTTGTGAGGTTTGAAAAGGATCATTTAGGTTTTCCTATGGGGTTTCCTCACACTTCCTGTTTATTCTCAGCTCATTCAAACAGTCGGGAAATGTTTGCAGGATTTATCCCAGCTAGATCTTTAACCTTAATAAGTTTGAATAAGTGATCTCGTCTCTGGTGTCTTGAAGGAATCTGACTCAGGCCACCAAAGAAACAAACGTTTTAAGTCTGTTCCGTTGTTTAACTCTTGCTGGGTGAATAAACACGTTTCTAACACGCTCCATGTTCTCAGCCTTTGTTCTGCTGCTAATAGCAGTGAGAGTTGTCTGTCCGTTTGCTTCCTGGTTGCTGATATATTTTGTAATGCAACATTAAAATCATCACTCTGAGCGACGCGTTCCTGGCTTCCAGGCTGTAATACCTCTGAGGTAACAGCCCAGAGTCCTCTATCGCCATCGCTCACATTCATGCTTTTCTCTTAGGGATAAAACAATTATGATACCTTTTTCTGTAAATTGCAAATCATTAGAAAAAATGAAAAGGAAAACAACAAAAAAATCATTAAAAGACAATTGTTGTTAAACCTGAATAAAAAAAGGGTCATAAGCACGAGCCTCTTTCACGTATTTGTTTTTGTGATGTGTTCAGTTGATTTTATAAACGCTAGCATCATGCTAACAGCCAAATGTTTACGTTAGCTTTACGTTCTCGTGACCTTTTGGGTCTTCCTGTCAGCATGAGTCGTGTCTCACCTCATTGGCTGTTCAGACTGATGCTAGTCCACTGATAGCCTAATAGCCAGAGTACATACAGATGTTTATTCTAACAGTTAAGTGGGTTAATTCAGAATTTAATGGCTTCAACACAAGAGGAAACCTCAACATCTAACGTTTTCCTCTGGTTTTTAAATCTGCAACATTTTGTACTAGTAGGAGGAACGGTGCTGTTATCAGTTTCATACAGATTTTTATTCATTTGTCTTCTATTTTGAGACATTGGTGACATCCACAGGTGGGTTCACCTGAGCAGGTCAAATCTGCAGCCCTGAAGAGGAAAATGGACCCACAGGAAGCAGAGTAGGACTGAGTTAATACATATTAGTTGACTACCAACATGATTAGTTGCATCCTTGTTTTTACCCGATTAGCTTTTCTCCGTGTTTCATATGAAACCTGAATAGTTTTCTCTTGTCTCCATGCTCCTGTGTTAGCGTCGCTTTTCTTCTGACTGATGTAAAACTGATTCAGGTTACCTTGACTGAACACGGCGATGACGCCAGATCTATTCATCCTGTTTTCTTACAGCTGAATAATAATACGCTTTTCTGTGAAATGAAAGGTGACAACGACTCTGGTTCTCTGTGCAGGTGAAGCAGATCATGGAGGAAGCTGTAACCAAGAAATTTGTTCACGAAGACAGCAGTCACATCATCGCCCTGTGCAGTAAGTTCACGTTGTTGTTTACTCTCTTGCACACATGCACGCACCTATGCACAAGCACACACACTTGTTAAACTCCTCAAAAGGTAACATGACACTGCTACTCCGTCAAGGACACATTTTGACGTCACTGATGGTGCTGCTGCATCAATGGAGCCTTGGTAATGACAGTGGAGCTAATGGAACCCGATGTGAGAGACATGCTGTACCAAACCTAGGGTGTGTGTGTGTGTGTGTGTGTGTGTGTGTGTGTGTGTGTGTGTGTGTGTGTGTGTGTGTGTGAGAGAGAGAGAGAGAGAGAGAGAGCGAGGGATTTGAGGGTTAATATCCTTGTTGAGGCTGATGATTAAATCCAACAGAAGATTTATGAGCTTTTTTCCATTAAACTCCACCAGCCTGTTAATTGGGAAAAGTCATGCTGTCATCAGCGAGTGTGTCCTCCCAAGTGTCCTCATAAGCATCTAATATTTCTGTGGGATAAGTCAAAGGTCACATGGTTAGAGTCTTTGCTACATGTATTTTCACCAATACACAAAAATAATTTTAGTTTCACAGTTTTTGCTAAAACACATTTAAGTCCAGAATCATTATTCTTTAATTGTTCTGTTGAGTTTTAACTCAGATCTGATGTTCATTCGATGATTTTCTGTAATTTTGTGTTTCCGGTGATTTCAGTGATGAGAACCAATCATGTTCTCTCTGTCACCACTAAGATTGTTGTTTTCTTTCATTGTACTGTAGCTTTAGTTGATGTCTGGGATCACACTTCAAGGTTAAAGTTCCAGACAACACAACAGAAACCAGTTTTTTTTCTTGATTGTATTTTTGCTATAGAACCAGTTAGAACCAGTTAATGTGTTTGATGGCGTTGATGGCTTTCTGGTTCGCCATCAGCTCCTCCCTGTTACTGAAGGCTCTGTTTGACTGTTTCCTTTTGACGATTCACTGGGCTGAGGTGTTAGCATGACACTAAGCTGCTCACCAACACAAGCAGATGTCAGCCCACACTTGTTGTTATGGCGATGACCAAGCTGAGGTTGTACATCCTCCAGTGTAACATTGTTGTTGAGAAAGTCACGTTAGCTCTCCGTTCTGTCTGACAGCACTCTCACACCAGAGATGTTTGTTTGAAGCGGACCATGCTCTGATCTGTTGATGTAAACGTCATCAGAACTCTGGTCCACCTGATAACTAATGCAGCTACTGTAAAATGTGCTGAATCGGAACCAAAACAAGCCTAAATTTTTCAAGTTTTCCACATTCGCCCCTCAGTGGAACGGATTTTCTTCACCACTCTGGTGAAGGTTGCTGGGGAGAGATGGTTTGGGCCACTCTGCTGGAGCTGCTACCCCTGTGACCCAGGCCTGGATAAGCGGACTAACACAGACAAATTCTTGCTGACTGAGACAAAACCATCTCGCAGCACCAACCGTTCCAATGAAAAGCTCAAAATGGATTCTAGTGGGCATACTCCCATGTACTGGGAGGCTGTCCTCTGCTTTACTCACATGAATCCTCTGCTCACTGATTCCTAATTATAGACTTTGTGAAGGCATGAAGAGTTAAACTCAAAATGGAGAAAACTGCTGCCTAAAACCAGTTAATGTTAGCATTTGATGCTGTTGCTTAACTCATTCGCTGCCAGCCGTTTCCTGACCGGTAAGGCCATTTGCAGCCAGTGTTTCTCGCCGTTTTTGCTGTTTTTTTAAGAGTCACAGAACATTGTGTGCTAGGATGATGTCGACGCCAAAACAAAGCGGAGACTCACCTCTTACATCAGGAAGAATCCGCACGTTTCGAGCGTTATCCGTTCTTTCATAATCCGTTGTTGAATTGTGATCGGCAGAAGCTTTTCCGGTTCGCGCCTCACTTTTTTTACAGCAGTGGCCCAAAACGATCTCCTAACACATGGATTTTCTGCTTCCTGATCATGTGACATGTGACGTATGCAGATGAAGATCGGCTTTAGAGCGGAAATGTTTGTTCTCACAGTGCGGGGGCTCGTTCCGACGCCCACACAGTAAAGAAAATGCAAATGACGACTTTTGTCGTCAATGGCAGTGAATGAGTTAAAAATGTTTCTGCTGCGTGAAATAAATTAGAATAGTTGTGTTGATGTAAAAGAGGAGTTTCCATAAATGACTGCTCAAACCACTTGAAATACTTAATCATAAAACCATTATAATAAATATCTCACTCTTAAATTTTTTAAACAAGTGTTGAATCACTGTCTTGCTGATTCAAGTCTAATTGTTTTTCTGCACGTTCAGGATTGACGTTTCAGTTTTTTCTGTTTGCATAAGCTTGATGTCATGAGACAAATAACTCTGAGTTGCTGTAAAAATCCTGATCAAAGTCCACATGACCCCTTCAGCTGTGCAGCTGACCCTATGTAGATGTCAGCTATGTTATCTTCTCAGCTTTTACATCAACTTGTTGCCTTTGTTTGTCCAAATCTCACTTATCCACAAAAATGATGTCAGAGCTCAAAATTCAGAATGAATCCAATAGTTAGTTGATATATAACACTCAGCTGTGGCGAGCGTAAAGGTCGTTGGAGTCAAGTGAATTTGTGGTCATGTTCTAAAAACCAGTTAGAGATGACCTGAGCTTTGGAACATGAAGCATGATCCTGCTGGGAGCAGCTAGAAGGGTCATAAAGGGATGGACAGGATCAGCAACATTACTCAGGTAGGCCGTGGTGTTCCAACCAGGCAGGTGGTACTGAAGAACATCTCCCCCTCACCACCGTCATCACACCAGCAGCAGCAAATGTTTATCTGCTTCACCTGATTGGTGTTTCCTGCACCATTGTCACTGTGGATGCCATCACATTTCTTTTTCACTCAGGTTCCCCCTGATGTCTGCCCACGTAGACGTGGATTGGCTGTTAGGTGACAGTTTTGTTATTTTACCTGGGTTTAGATCTTCCCAGGTTCAGGCAGTATGATTAATCACTTTAGGAGTATTTATTCTCCTTTGGTTCTGAACAATTTAGATGTTACAGAAGATTAAAGCTCTGATTGTTTTGTTTGTTGGATGTCAACATGATACTCGGATTGTTTAAACTGCTGGAACAATTTATTAATCTAAAGAAGACATGCATATTCTAACCAGTTTAGAAAAGCATCCGTGCTCATCCTCGCTGTTCTTCTGTTCCCCCTAAAACTTCCTTTTTCCAAACCTTGTCATTGCCGTCTGAGAGCTGGGAGTCCAACCCAAAGAGGACATCAACATGATGCAGGCTGATTATCAGCCTCTAGTGCTTGAGGGCTTTGCAGAAAGGCAAAAGGTTAAAAGGTCATTTTATAATAATAACCAATGATGTCAGAGCCAGAATGAGTCATTAGGCTTCATATTTACTGAATATCAGCACCAACACATTAATCCCAGCTGTCTTTAGTTAAGGGTCAGATTTAAATGTGATATTCTAGAATGTCTTTATTGAAGGGCTTTGCAGCATTACGAGTACTTTAATGAATGGTATTTTGTCAGGATTTTGTTGAACGTGTGTGTGTGTGTGTGTGTGTGTGTGTGTGTGTGTGTGTGTGTGTGTGTGTGTGTGTGTGTGTGTGTGTGTGTGTGTGTGTGTGTTCCATTGTCCTCTACAGGTCAACAAGCAGCCTAAACTTTTACTGCGGACTAATCTTGTAAGCCTCACAATGAATGGATCTGACGGCAGTGAGTTGTTGCCTAGCAACATAAAATCTAAAATCGTCCCACAATGTGGAAATCTCATCAGATGTAAAAAAAAACAGATTCTGTAAGACAAAGTTACCGTCTTCAAAATTTGATTGTTTCGTTTAGAAAAACTTTTTTTTTTCAAATGCTAATTTTAGACATAAAAACAAACACATTAAAAATGGTTTCATAAGAAAAAATGGGAACTTCAACTGCAGCTGTGGAAACTGTGGAAGTGGTGCACCGTTGCACCATCATAGCTGCTTCTCTTTGGAGCTCTAAAGACTTCTGTCTTGCCCTGAACTCTTCACCAGTCGTTGGTGGAGCCGAGGGCTTGCTGCAGGGTTCAGAGGATGGCTCAGAGCATGCTGCACATTTTACAGGATGCTGTGTTTTGCTGCAGGCCTGTGCTTGTGTAGTCAAACTACACTCATTTTACCAAAGTGTCTCCTAGAGCAGGGGTCCTCAACTGACCACCAGTTGGTGGTCTGGGCCCACAAAACGTGGGCTCCTATATTGAGTACCACTGCTACAGTGTTTTCAACAGTCACGTGGTCCAGGTGCCATTCTCACTCCTGGATCTGAACATCTGGTGTTGGAGTGAGCTGATAAGCAACTTCAAACAACCCTAAAACCCCACTTTTCAGTCAGTGCCCTGTGTGTCAGCACACATGTGAACCCACTCATAACATTTATGCATCATCAAGTCATATTATTTATTTACAACTGACAATTTTTACAAATCAGACCTAAAAGTGGGATTCTAGTGGACATTACGATATTACAGCCAAACTGCAGACTCTTGATTTGACTCTTTCCGTACACCAGGGGTATTCAATACTGGGCCTGGGGGGCAGGTATCTAACACGTTTTAGTTTTAACCGTTTCAGCAAACCTGATTTCAATCAGCAGAGCCCGATGAGCTGAACAGGTGATTCAACCACTGAATCTAATGTGTTGGAGCAGAGAAACCACAAAAACATGCTGGATACCACCCCTCCAGGACCGGAATTGAATACCCCTGCATTCCATGGAAGGATCGTACTCAGTCCTGATGCTTGTTTCTGATCGAGCATTAGGACCTCTTACCTGAAGCAGCTGACTCTAATCCTCACTAAAAACTACAACATTGAAGAAAAGACCTGTTAGCAAATAGAGAACTTCTAAAATGGCTTAAAACAGCTGACATGTCCATGAAAATACAAAATAATAGAAGTCAAAACAAACCTTTGAAGACATAGCCATAAATCCCAACAGCTTTTACATCGTAAAGCATACCTAGAGATAAAGTGGAAACCTACAAGATGAAAAAGAAGGAAATC